CAGAAGTCTTTAACAGGAGGAAAGTAATTCAGTCCAATTACTGTTTGATCTTAAATGTTCTGCTAAATCTTTTATTGTCTCTCCCAATGATTATTTTAATGGCTAGACATCATAAAGTATGTAAATACATTAATATTTTACTTTTACTTTAAAAGTTGAAGACCCCTGCTTTATTCCCAACTTTTTTTTTTACAGTTTACCAGTATTAATTTTCTTGTAATCCCTGTTCAGTCTTTTTGATTTTAGTTTGAATACACATGCGACATCATAAAGTATGTAAATACATTAATATTTTACTTTTACTTTAAAAGTTGAAGACCCCTGCTTTATTCCCAACTTTTTTTTTTTACAGTTTACCAGTATTAATTTTCTTGTAATCCCTGTTCAGTCTTTTTGATTTTAGTTTGAATACACATGTTTACATAGTATTGTTCTGAGTGCCTCATGCTTCATCTGCCATCATTCAGCAAGCAGAAAATAATCATCAATTAAGCAGAAATGAGAGCATTTCTATATTTAATGACTGGTAGTGCACTGGAAAAAATGATAGAAATAGTTACCACTACCTAATGCATTATTAATAATCCTGGCATATAGGCAACAGCTACAAATCATTTTAACCTGAAAGCAGAAGAGAAGTGCAAAATAGATAAGCTGAAAATACAAATAATAATTAAATCCTAACCTTTTGACCTTTCTGTTTAGAGAGCATCTGCTAACAGGTCAATAATTGAGGGTTCCATCCGCTCACTTCTCTGGCCTGCAGTGATGTTAGCTTTTTACATTGTTCAGGTTTAGCTAACCGACAACGCGAAGGCCTGCTAATGGTGTCATTCATATTCATAATACAGCAAGTAACATTACGTTTGCTCAGTTAAAAAAATGAGAAGACGAAAGATATGGAGGAGGAAGTAAATTAAAAGATTGTTTTCAGCAGTAAGGAACAGCTTGGAAGTAACCAAAGAAAGTCAATTAGCAGGAGTCCTGAGGTTTCACTGACCTAGTAAAGACAATTTTCCAACATTGTTTTGCTTTTCCGCGTGAAAAAAGAGACAGCAAGGCAGCTCTTTGTACTGGCCCATAAGTTTTTCTCTGGTCTAGTCTCTCAAATTGCGCTCAGCTTTTAGGTTATTTCAAGAATACTGCCACAAAGAATTCATTATGACATTCACTGACCTGACATTTTTATGCACTCATCAGAATCTGAATAAGATCATTCATCAGAGGTTGAGCGAGGATATGCGAGAGACATTTTTATATTAGTGTGTTTCACTGGCACCAGCTAGGGCACCACGGCCTATGGTAACATATTGCAAATTCATCACAAACATGTTTCTATTACCCTGAGAGAGCCTGCACGAGTACTACACAGTCTGGATGATGGGTCAATCAATTTTAGATTGGGGCTCCATGAACTTTACCCAAAGCAGAAGATGACATTCATTTCACTGGTGGAGATGGGAGTGTAATATTGCAGCCTTTAGAGTCTCTGGAGTATTTCACTGTAAAAGGTCAGGCAGGCATGTTAAATTTAATCGCTTGAGTACAATTATGCAATTAATGGAGGCAGTATTGCTCTTTAATACCTGCGTGGAATTCATTGGATATTTCACTGATAGTGTTGAAGGTTGAGTTGGATATTTGGCCAAAAAATATTTAACATGATAAATTAAAATATACAGTCAAACCAAAAAGTATTCAGACAGCAGATATAATTTTTTATATTTTTTTTACTACTTTTGGACACTATAGTTCATTTATGTAAGTGAGGATAGCAAAATAAAGTAAACTGTGACATATTATACCCAAAAAGTCTTCATACAGTGGACTACCTGTAAAAAACCTGACCATGTTTTGCTTAAGTGTTATCTGACATTATCAAGATGAATTTGTTCGGACACAGTTTAACTTAGTTCTTGTTGTATTTTATTACCATTTTCTAAACTATAGCGAATAAACTGTGATAAATTTAAAGGTGTCAGAATAAATTTTGATTTGACTGTATATCCAAGTATAATTAGGTGTATTTTAATTTTTTTGCCACTACAGTAAGAAATATAAATAAATTATAAAAGCCTTTTATAGTTGTAAAAGCCTTTTGTTTTACTTTTAACTTTGAATAAGGATGGCATAATTGCTCACATGCTTGTGCAGTTTAACACACACTCACAATTATTCAGTAAGCTGTTCTTTCTAGACCCCTTGGGATATCTTGCTAGCTGTCAGGCCAGTCCTTTCAGGAATATATCTGTCAAGCTCACAGTTTCCATGAGGGACAAATTTCTCCTGGTACACCCAGAACCTCAGGGAAGAATTTAATCAGCTAAACACAGCAGCCACCACCTCAGCACTATTCGCAAGAGCATACGAGAAGAGGCAATGGACTCCTTAAAAGCAGACAATGTCCTACTGGCCATTTCATGACATTAGCCTGTGTGAAATTACTTTATTAGCTGCATAACTCTGTCTTCCTAATGAATTTAACATCTGCGGCTGTTTCTCTGAGGAAGACAGATTATTGGTTTAGTGTGGATATTTTGTCGTTGTTAAAGGGTTCATATGATGCGATTTCAAGTTTTCCTTTCTCTTTGGAGTGCTACAAGCTGTTCGTGAATAGATAAGATCCCTAAAGTTGCAAAGACTAAAGTCTCAAACCCAAAGAGATATTCTTTATAAAAGTTAAGATTCGTCCACACCCTCCTGAAACGCCTCGTTCTAACACGCCTCCACATGTCTACGTCACGATGTGTGAAGATTTGCATAACGCCGCCCAAATGTTCACGCAAAGAAAGAAGGCGTAACTTTGATTCTCGCTGTAGTATTGTTGCTGCCACCATGTTGTGGAGATGCTGTGTGTTTCCTTGTGAAAGCGAAACTACTTTGTTTGGCCTTACAAAAGAGGACACGACTAGAAATCAGTGGTTAAGTTGTA